CAAAAATTAATAACGATGCAACGATTGATTTTTTTGCATCGACTCGTCAAACGATGAAAAAGTTGCTATAATAGTTGATATTGAATAGCAATTGTGTCGATTATTTCTACTATTTCTAGACTCCAACTTAAAGCAGTGTTTAAGAAATATTTATTTTTATCAATATCAAGGCTGGGAAGTTTAAAATTTCATTTTTATACTTCAAATAATAATAAACGATAATGCACCTAAAAATGAAAAGATCCTTCACTAATAATATAGGTAAATTTAGAAAAACAATGGCGTTAATCAAGGTTGCTGTCCCTATATATATATATATACATATATATATATATATACATATATATATATATATATATATATATATATATATATATATATATATATATATATATATATATATATAAATTTGTAATTTATATATATATATATATATATATATATATATATATATATATATATATATATATATATATCAAAAAACAAAACAGACACAACAACTCTTAGGCATTTTAAAGACTTTTACGTTATGCCATTGTTTTCGTTTCAGAACGAAAGTTTATTTTCCCGTAACTAAAATGGTAGCTGTTCGACTGCGAGGATGATTACCAACTAAAGAATAATATTAAACGCTAATCTAAAAGTAAAGCAAAAAAAATTTGCGCCTTAAAGTTGGTTTGTGGCGAAGTAAACCTTTATGCGTCTGCATTTATCCTACATTTTTTGATTTATTTTAATTTTGTTGCATACAAATGCATAAAAATATATGAAACTGGTTTTTATATATTTTTCAGGGATTGTATTTATGACAATTACTATTGCAATAAATACAATCCCTGATCATTTCATTGATTAGGGATTGTATTTATTGCAATAGTAATAAATAAATTGTTAAAATTTATATAATATATATTATATAAATTATTATAAATTATTATAATTATATATATTATAAAAATATATTCCATATATCTTTAATAGAAAAAGGTATTTAAAAAAATTTAAACAAAACCTTTTTTCTAGTTTGTTTTTCTAATTTTTTCCTACAAAGTGACGTCACACACGCAAAAAAAAATTGTAGTTTCAACGGTTTACGAAAAAGCCTCTCGATTATCATTTTTAATAGTCTAAGTATCAGATAACGTAATTTTAACTACCGCAGATGGGGGTAACTAAAGCCACTTTCGAAATTCAAACTTCTGCCCAAGTCAGACCCTTTAATTTATAGGTTAAACAAATATTGCAAAACTTGGATCTGTGGTCATATATTAAAGAAATATATTCATAAATTGCAGAAATATACATTTTTTTAATAAAAAAAATGAAAACATGGTGGCTTTAGTTACCTCTGGAAAAGGGGTAACAAAAGCCATCCATTAAAAAGCAATGTTTGGCTTTAGTTAGAGAGTGCTAGGGTAACTAAATCCATAAATCATGCATCTGTAACAATAAAGAACCACTATTGACAACAAAAGCCATCCATTAAAAAGCAATGTTTGGCTTTAGTTAGAGAGTGCTAGGGTAACTAAATCCATAAATCATGCATCTGTAACAATAAAGAACCACTATTGACAAGAAAAAAGCTTTATTATTTAAGAAAAACATTAAAAAGAGACAAAAATATTATTTAAAACAGGTCTTGTTGAAATCAGTGCTTTACCGGTAGTTCATAAGGAAAAGTATAACGTCCTCTATTTACTTTGGATGGTTTCACAATTGAAATGACGTCTGTTAACTGACTGTCCATTTCGTCATCAACATTTGGAAATATATAGTCATTTCCTTTTGATTTGGAGCTTCTTCTGAAAAACTTTACTGTAACTTCGTTCTTCTCAAAACAAGTTCTAAGAATGACTCCATAGAAATGTTAGGTGGTTTCTTTTTTTGTGTTCTTATCAAAGATGAGCTCAGCAATGACGTAAATTTCAGGTTTAAGTTCTCCTTTAGAGACTCCTATTTTGGGGGGTTCGTCATAAGTTGTTTCTTCTAGTTGCACATTTTCAGAAGTCTTGGAAACCTGTCTTTTGGAATAGAGCCACGATTAGCCTCTTTCCACTCTGTCAAAGTCTGGCGCCATTTTATTTTCAATGGCCTAAAGAATGCCACATCTATAGGCTGCGTGAAGTGTGTACTGTTAGGAGGTAGCAGTACAAACTTGATGTTATTTTTATTGCATTCTTCAATAATATGGGCAGAGATGTGACTCGACAAATTGTTTCCTATCAAAACCTTCTTGGCATCACTGTCAAATTTTTTAAAGTAGGGCAAAGCTAATCTCTGAAACCAGTTTTCAAAAATTTCCAGAGTGAACCACCCGCTCTTCGATCTATTATACACAGTGCCTGCTGGACCATTCTCTGTCCAAGAGTCATACAGATGGGCTGCCTTATAAGTTATATAAGGAGGCAGTAGCATTCCACTTGCACTTCCAGAAAACATTACTGATGTGCTAAACTTAAAAGAATCTACTATACGCTCTGGATGCCTTGATCCCCTTCTCACGATCACTTGTTTTCTCCCTGGGTCGTCAGTCATGTTGGTTTCATCGTAGTTTACTATCATTGATGGATCAACATCCTTTAATGTCTTTTCTAGTTCATTAAAGTAGTTATTCACGATGTCCCTACTGATAGTCGCTCAACTTCTTTTAATGTTTTGACCCAACCGTTCGGAAAGATCTTTACTGTTTCTTTTGAGAAAACTGTCAATAAAATCAACTCCAGGCATATTGTTTTTGAACCTAACTTCATTTCGGCCACACTGATCCAGGTAACCTTTCACTATTAGTCTTATGTCTAGTGCTGTAAGAGGGAATCCCCACTCTCCGGCCATGCTTATAGATTCAACTAATTTTCTTTCTTCTTCAGAATTAAGAACTGGAGGCCTACCACATTTGTTAACCTTACCTTTCAGGGCAGCAGTGAGAGCAAATTTTGATATAGCAAATTTCTCAGCAATCTTTCTTAAAGATGACTCTTCACTTCTTCTACAGCTATTTTCAGCGTTTCATCTGTGTAATCCTTATACTTCCGGCTACCAAGCTTCTTCTTTGGGTTTCGAGGCATTTTTAGTCCTAAAAAAGAGAAAAAATTTATTACTTAAGGAATTTTGACTTATTATAAAGTATGGGGTAACAAAAGCCACCTTTATGATGTGGCTTTAGTTACCCCATGTTGTGTATCACTGAAAAAAAAACATCACAACAAAAGAAAGAATCAAGTTATAGGTTATAACCTAAAGGTGTGATGAAACATAAATTGAGGTTATGCTTGTTGAGAGTTATGAGAATTTAAGATTAAAAATGATTTGTTCAGAGCAGAAGTTATGCAAGGTAATTTTTTTATGGAATTTTTAGGTTAAATATATAGTTTTACTGTACACTTACCGTGATATTGTTTTAATAATCCAGACAAGTATTTGGAAAGCAGTCCAAGTTCCTATTAGAAGAACACAACATCAGCTGTTGAATCCAAACAGTGCTGCCACTATCACCATCCAAAAATTACCTGCTATAATGGCTTTAGTTTCCCCGTAGGCTTTAGTTACCCCCATCTACGGTATCAGAAATTATCAAGGGAGGGGCAAATCTAAAATTGAAGTTGAAAATTTTCCACTTGGATGAGATAATATGTTTTGACAAAACTTGTGCTTTTTCAACCTTGTCAATTTTTTAAAATACATACATACCTACAAAAAATCAAAACATAACAGCTTGAGCAAGTTGTTTATATTGGGATGGTTAATCTCAATTGTAATTGTAAAATGTATAAATAAAGTATAGTTTCAACACATCAATGCTTACGAGCCATAGTGGTATGACAAATATTGTCTTCTTTTTGCCCCAGTCATGAGTTTAATTTTTATATTGAGCAACGGTGGCGTAGTGATTAGAGCATGGTACTTATTGTATAAAGGTTGCGATTTCAAATCTAATCTATCTAATGATGTATAGCTCAGCTGCGCAAGTCTAGAAATAGCCTGTCAACATCAACTTCAGTGCGGATGTGGGCGAGGTTTGATTAAGTTATCCTTAGCAACAAATTTTTTCTCCCGGTGATGCTTTTTTGTTTTATGTAATTTTTGCTTTCTTAAAATCTTTTCGTTTGTAAAAGTGTATAATATCGTTACATATGTTTATATATAATTTCTATCAAACTTAAAAAGTATTTTGTATTTTAAAATAATTGATAAAATAAAATAAAAAGTCGCCAGTGGTAGTAATTGAACTTCGGTTTCAGAAGCTCGACGTCTTATCCACTCGGCCACACTAGCATATTCTTAAGCGAATATTTTTAAAACAATATAATAATTTTTTTAAAACTTAATTTAAAGCTTACGTACGTTAGATATTTGGATACACGTTAGTTCACATTTTCTTATAAAACAAAGCTGCCGTAACTCTTTCTTGCTATTACTTCGCTTGCAATGGCTGCTAAGAGTACCGTGTCAAACAGGCTTGAAAGTGCACTACTACTACTACTAATACTAAGTTCAGTATTATTAAATAGATATTTTTAAAACATGCACGGAGTGTTACTACATCGACTATCTTATATCCTGCTGCTACAAGGGAGTGTTGCTACATCGATTATCTTATAGCCTGACTCGCAACGGAGTGCTGCTACATCAACTGACAAATAGCCTGACTCGCAAGGGAGTGCTGCTACATCTACTGAGGGTTTGGTTTAAGCAGGCAGACTATCATTTAAGCAAAAAAAACAGTTATTTAAGTTTTTAAACTTTTTTAGGTCTGGTATATTAACGCTCTTTTTAAATCTACAGTTTATGGGAAAAAATCTCTGACTACCATGCAAGACTATAAATATATATATATATATATATATATATATATATATATATATATATATATATATATATATATATATATATATATATATATATATATATATATATACACACTAAACATTCTTAACGATTAATATTTTTATTATAGACATCAATATAAGAAGATTTTCATTTTGATAAAATTAAAATTATAGGCATGGATGTACGCATAGGTTGTATTTTGGGTCATCACACTTCAACAAGAGAACTATATGCTATACATAAAAATCAGATAACGTATTTAGTGTATCACAGTACATTTAAAAAATGGCTAGCTGTAACTGATAATGATTTTAAAACAAAAATTTCAAGCAATTTAAATTGGAATTTATTAAAAATTATTGAAAATGATTATGATCAAATCGTAACGTTTGGAACAAACCAATGGATGGGTCAGATTTTTATTATAATCATTATATATGAGAAGCCTATCTGCAATACACGTTATTTAAAAAACATAAAAATTTCAAGTCTATATACAGAAGTATATCATCTGTTTAAACATTAGGCCAATTGAAAGTTTTTGCCTTAAAAATAGATAAAGAGAACATCAATTTCTGTTGATTTGCACTTAGCACGCGGACTTAGCACGTTTTGCAAATGCAAAACGTGCTAAGCCCGTTTAGGCTTCTCATATAGTCTAATAAAAATGTATGTATGTATGTATTTATGTATGTATCTATATATATATATATATATATATATATATATATATATATATATATATATATATATATATATATATATATATATATATATATATATATATATATATATATATATATATATATATATATATATATATATATATATTACTATTTCAATTTTATTTGTTTTTAACATTTAGGAAACATTGATGGTTTGTTTTTCAAAGATGTTTCAAATAATATTTGGGTTCAACGATTTAGATGGTATGTTTAAAGGCAAAAATAGATATCTTACATATATGGCTTATCTTTAGCTTAATACTCAATGCTACAATGGCAATTGTCTAAAATATCTATTTACAACTACACAATCAATCATCAATTATATATATTGTGAAAAAAGTTATTTCAAGCATATTTACAAACATTATTATTGCTAATCTTGTGAAAATACCTATAACACTGATATTTTATATGTAGTTATTATCATTAACAGTAAAAATAGAAATAAAATAATACTAATAATAACAATAAATAGTATTACAATAAAAACAGTAATGATTGCAATAAAATAATAATAATTATAAAAATAGTAGTAATAATACCAACAACAATAATAATTATGATAATAATAATAATAATATTAGGAAAAATTATACTAATGACAATAGTATTATTTGCATAATCATGATAAGTAAAATGAAGAATATATAAAGAAGTATATTTAACATTAACAATGATAATTAAACAGAAAGAAAACAAATAAACAAACTAAATCACACATCACAATCTAAAAATAGAACAATAAAAACATTTACAGATACAAAATAGAAATAAAAAAGGAATCTTTTTAATAATCAAAGCAACAACTATAATAAAAACATCAATAATAAGGATTCATAAATAATAAAATATAAATAGGAAAAAAAAAGAAACAGAAAACATAAATTTAACTGGACAATCACGCGGCAGACGAACGCAACAGAAAGCGCAACTAAATAAAGTATTGTAAACTGGGGTGACTTTGCTCCTGAAAGTGACTTTGGTTCAAGCTGAATTTTTTGTTTAAAAATGGTTTATATTTAGTAACCTACAATATACCGGTTATTTTTTGTAGCAAAATGTGGGAAATTTATTAGTAAATTAGTATAACTTATTCATGATTTATAAGTTTTTATGAATTTCTTATAAATAGCACTTTGGTATGAGTACCTAAAACCCGTATTTTTTTAGTCGTGCAAACTTTTACATCCATAGCAGTAACTAGTGAAGACATTTTACAAAAGAATTTATTAAATTAATTTTAAATTATCAGTGTTTGTTATCTTGTTTTGAAAGCTCAAAGCTTTATAATTTTTTTCTAATTGGTGCTAAAAAAAGTTTGCTGACTTTGACCCACTACTACTGAACAAGGCTAAATTCACTATGTATCGTAAAAAAAATTTATTTAATAATTTTAATGAACAGAGTAGGGAAGTATTAGGTTAGTTTAAGTGTTGCAATGATAAAGTTAGAAAATTGCATTAAACTAATTCCGTATAAATGTTTGCATTATATAATTAAATCAGAATAATTATGAAATTATTTCGGTTATTAGTTATTCTTAATTACTTATATACGCTTATATATTTATATACTTTTTATTATTTATAGTTACACAAAAAAATATTTTAAGTCCTACGCAAAAAAATTAATAAAAAATTAATAAAAAAATAAGTAGTATTTAGACAAAGTCATAACTTGTTTACTTCGTACCTAAAACTTCAATACTTTTTATCTAAACTTTGTTATGAATTCTTTTTCAAAACTTTATTTTTGTAAACTTTTGTGTTTTGTACCTAAGCATTCCTGTTTTTATTGATTTAATGCATTTAGTCCTTTTTTACTGGGTTGGGCCAAAGTTACCCTAACACACATAGGCGACTTTAGCCCATCATTTTACTAAAAGAAATCTCTACAATAATTTCTTTAGGTTATTCATTTTCAATTGTAAGAAAGTTTTTACTATCATTTTTATGCACTTTTAACAGTACTCAGTATTTAAAGAAATAACTATTGTGGTTTTCATGCACTAGATATTAAAGTGCAAAATGTACCAAAGCAACCCAAGTTTCACCCCAGTTTACGGTAACAAACATTGCAAAAAACAACAAAATACAAAAGCAATAAAAATTTCTTTTTTTTTCATTCTTTTTTTTTTTTTTTCATTTTGTACTTGTTTTAAAATTTTTTTCTTTTTATTTTACGTTTTTTTTTTCCGAAAATAATTTTAAATAGACTTTGTTCTTTTCCTTGCTTTTTTTTTTTTTTTTTTTTTTTTTTCCAATTTTCTTTGTCTTTTTTGCTTTTTGTTTTTTAATTTATTAAAAAAAAAATAATTAGAAAAATTAAAATAGAATAAAAAAAAGTAAAAAAACAAATAATCTGATAAGTATTTAATGTAAAACGCTGAAAAACGCTGCCCGCCATTAGCGATGTCACTGCATTCCAGTCACATAAATCAGGCTATGATTTGAATTATTCAATCAATTCCAATAGTACAAATTATTACTATTATTTTTTATAATATTAATAACTTGGTATGATTTTTCTCGCTAATATATTTTGTTCGTTATCCTTCAACTACAGTCGTTTAATTCTGTTAGCATTTTATTTTATATCTCAAAATTAAATTTCATTATCAAAATTAAACACATTAAAATTTTTGTTTTAAATATATTTTTTAAATTTTGAAATATGGTTAAGAAAAACGTTCGCGCAGGTTGATTTTTTCTATTAAAACATATTTTGACAAAAAATATCGATTTGAAAAGTACTTTAGGATATTCCAAAAAATCTTTAACTTTTGTATTTGATCTTTATAATCTTAGAGGACACTTAAATTTTGTAAATTTATACTACTCTCTAGTAGTCAAATTTTCAAAATTCAGTTTGATGGGTATTTAAAAAATTAAAACGATTATTTTTCAAACCGATTGTTTATAGCGTTGCGCCTAACCAGCTCACTGTATAACTTATATTAATGACATTATTAAGAAAAAAAGCGTGAACATCTTAGTTAAATGCTCTTTTATGGTGCTTTGTAATAAGAACGTTAGGACTTTATGGAACGCCCTAAAAACCAACAAACAACAGCAACAACAATAACAAAAGAAAATATTACGGCTAAGGCTATAATGATAATAGTAAAAATAATGGTAAAAAACTCCTCTAATATTTGCAACTTTTTGTAGTTTTATAGAAACTTTTTTTATATAATTTCTAGGCAAAGAATGATAATTTGAAACCAAATCAAAAATATTCATCTAAGCTAATTTCTCATTAAAGTATCAAACGTGTCAATATCTTTTCAACTATTCACGCGCTGGATTGTTGTTCATTTCTAGATTTTGTATTAACACGTGCAAGTAAAGTTAGCTGGATAAGTTATTTACATTTTTGCTGCATAAAAACCATGCTCTTTAAAAGTAAAGATGTTCCGGATAGCACTTTTTAAATATATCTGGTCGGATAACGGATAATCAAAAATAATATTTGGTAAAATATTTAACCAAAAAAAATATTTAGTCAAACCAAATTTAAATAATATTTCGATAACCAAAAATAATATTTGGTCAAAAATAATAATTGGTCAAATATCAGACACCGGATAACCGGATAACCAAAAATAATGTTTGGTCAAATATTTTCTAATATTTAAAAATTGTCAAATGTTTTAAAATATCGCCACGGTAAACAATCTAAAATGAAAAGTTTTTCTTAGAAAGTTTTTTAAAATAAATGATCCCTCTAAATCGACAACAGCTTATATTCAATATATTCTTCAAAAAAATGAAAAAATATCATTTTTACAACTCTACTGCACAATTAAATCAAAATAAAATTATTTAAAACTGAATGAAAAGGAAAGAAAAATAAAATTCAGTCTTCGACTTCTTCAACTCTAACTAAGCCTTAATAGAAAAAACAAAATAAAAAGTCCTATCTTAAATATATGGTTTAAATCATTTCATTTTATAATTAGAATTTTTGCTAATTAAAAAAACATTTGCTAATTACTTACACCTTAAAAAATGATAATACTTAATAATTGTCTTTTAATTGAGTGTCCAACTGTTGAGATAGACCTCTTTAGTTAAATAAATATTAACTTCGAGAAAGCCTTGTTCTTCTTTTCCATCAATCATTCACTTAATTCATTTTATTTAAGAAACAAAAGTAAGTTTTTCAAAAATTACTATATATATATATATATATATATATATATATATATATATATATATATATATATATATATATATATATATATATATATATATATATATATATATTATATATATATATATATATAACCCTCGGAATTAGGATTGGCATTCGGCAATGCTAACCTAACTGCCGACCTGAAAGTGTTTGAGGTCGGCAAAAAATTGCCGATCTTGTTTCTATGTTTTATGGTCAGACCTTTGTATCAAATAATTAAATATTTCATATACTAATTTTTTATTTTATTTAATTTTGATTCCCTCCCAACAAGTCTGCAATCAACCACTATTACATTGGGAGTAACTGGAAAAAATAAAAGAGTTATCAAGCAAGGAAATGGTTGACTTAAAAAGTTGAAGGTTGTATGAGTCAGGAAAACACGAAGACGGGAGTGAGTTTAAAAGGGTTGAAGTGCGGGGAAAAAATCTAGATTAATTAAAGTTTTTGGAGCAAACACGGACAGATACAGTAAAAGAATGAGAATTTGATAAATGACAAGTCAAGCAAGAATGAGTTAAAGTTAATGGAACTAGAAATGATTGCTCGTTTGAGCAGTAATGTACTGCATCAAAATAAAACATATTTGCCTAATTACCAATTACTAGTATGTTTTATTTTAATGCAGTACATCGCTGTTAAAAGGAGATGTCATCTCTAGTTCCAGCAATTAAAACTATTTAAATTAATTATTACAATATTAATATTATTATTGCTGTAATTATTATTGCTGTAAATATTATTATTAAATAATAATAATAACTAAATTCAACAACTAATAATAACAATACTCTTACAAATAAGAACTATAGTGACAGTATTTCTTAAAATAACTTTAATTAAACAAAATAAAACCTCCTCTTCTATAAAAAATCTCCAAATACTTTCCTTATTTTTTTTACGGGAACGGGAAAGGGACGGGAAAAATAATCACGTGGGCATAAGCAGTATAAGTTTTAATATGTCCAAAGGAAAACTACGCATGCTCACGTGATCATTTTTCCCTTTCCTATCCCGTTCCCGTGAAAAAACGGATGAGTGGAAACTCACCTTTAAAGACGTCCATATCTTTTTTTAAGCAGTTTTGTCTGACTTTATTCAAAGCGGACAACTTACTCCAATGTAAGACAACCTTTTCCGAAGTAATATGTCCTATCGGAAAGTTTACTCCGACGGACAGTTTTCTCGATGACAG